AGCGAGGGAGGGGGCGCGTCCGGAGCCGGTTCTCTGCCCGGGTGGGGGGCGGGGCGAGCTGGCAGGAGGGGATAGACTCTGCCTGGCGCTTCCTGCAGCCCAGCGGGGCGGGAGCCAGCACGCAGCCTCCCCTCCGGCACCGCAGGGCACAGCCCCTCCCTGCCGCCCCAGCCTGGCATGAGCTCGCCCTGGCTCCGTGACACGTGGTTCCCCCCCGATTCACTGCCCAGCGGGGCGGGAGCCAGCACGCAGCCTCCCCTCCGGCACCGCAGGGCACAGCCCCTCCCTGCCGCCCCAGCCTGGCATGAGCTCGCCCTGGCTCCGTGACACGTGGTTCCCCCCCGATTCACTGAAGCCTCCTGCAGCCAGGCACCTGCCCCTTTCCCAGGAACCCCGGTGTGCTCTGGGGCTGGGCCCCTCGGCCCCATTTTGTGGGGGAAACTGAGGCACAGGTGGGGCTCAGATTTTCACTCATGGTGGGTCTGGCCCCACATAAGGAGCTGTGGGTCATCCCAGGAGGGCTGCGACCCGTGGTTCCCCCCCGATTCACTGAAGCCTCCTGCAGCCAGGCACCTGCCCCTTTCCCAGGAACCCCGGTGTGCTCTGGGGCTGGGCCCCTCGGCCCCATTTTGTGGGGGAAACTGAGGCACAGGTGGGGCTCAGATTTTCACTCATGGTGGGTCTGGCCCCACATAAGGAGCTGTGGGTCATCCCAGGAGGGCTGCGACCCGGCGCCCTGACTTGCTGGCTGCTGGAGCTCCAAGCCTGGCTCTTGGACAGGGTCTGGCTCGGCCTCTTTCTCCCAAAGGCTGAACGTGGATCTGTCGCAGCTGATGGAGGGTTCGAGGGCCCAGGACACACGAGGACTGAGGGGCACTGGCAGAACTCAGGGGGAGCCCAGGGCTGGGCTGGCAGGGGCTGTGGGTGGGGAGTGAGGGGCACTGGCAGGGCTGGGGGGGGGCAAGGCTGGGCTAGCAGGGGCTGCTGCTGGGGAGGAAGGGGCCCGGCAGGGCTGGGCTGGAATGGGCTGCAGGGTGGGAGTGAGAGGCACTGGCAGGGGCTGTGGGTGAGGAGTGGGGGGCACTAGCAGGGATGGGGGGCAGGGCTGACCTGGCAGGGGC